TTCAAACAATGAGACCATTGTTATGTCCAGCATACGCAGCATCCGAGTGAAAGTTATCTCTATTATATTGTGCTCTATTTAATTAGGTGTTACACACTATTTAATTCGTAAAAAATTATATGAGTAATTTGAATATTTATGTCTTGTTACAGATACTCCAAGCAAAAATTATGTATCAGTCATTAAAATATTTTATGACGACTTTTGTCCCAAGATACACAACCGATTTTAGCTTGAAACACAAGAGCTTACATAATCAGTATCAATGCGAAATATCAATTTCAATGAAATTACAGAACCAGTGCTATATTGAAAATGAACTTTTGGGTAAAAAAAATATAATTGCATATCCAAAAAATTAAAATACAACGTAAAAAAATAGCACTAATTTATTTTTTATTTTTTAGCAAACGAACAGTCAGGTTTCAAATGCAGTGTGAATAATTATTTCTTTGGGCAAATCAAAGATGTTACCGATATATTGAACCTATTGCACTTCAGATCTGCTCTCAGGGGAAGGGTTTCAGATTTCGATTATTACCTACAAATAAATTATACCAATATGAAAAACCAAAATGGAAATAGGAAAGTTAATTTCCCATCAGAAAGAAAAACAGGTAAATATAACAGTCTGGGGGTTAAGTGAAAAAAAAATCCCCTTTTTTAAAAAGTCAATCAATAAATTTATTTTAATTCAATTCCAGACTGTCATGAGAAAGTCAAACCTAAATTGTTTACCGACACATTAGATTTGTTCGGAGTAAAAAATAAAACTGAGTTTGAAGTTTCTTTCGTGGGCGAATTAGCTGAGCACAAAATCAACGTTACATTCATGGCAATTCGAGAAACATATTTGAAACCAGTGAATGAACAATAAATATGATCGGTTTCATAACTGTCAAATCATCATCAATGCAATTGATATTAAAATATAATTTTCAAAAGGAACATGAGACATTGAAATGCATTTTTTCGAAATACGCAAATAAAAATTTGGAATTTTACAATTTACGAAATGTTTTTTTATACTTACACAATTACCTTCATTGATTATATCTATCCTTCTCCTAGCTAAAATATTGTTGTTGATCATTTTCGCCAAATTCATTTTCTTCAAAACATCGAAATACGAATAAAGTAGAGAAACAGCCATCTTGCGCATTTAGAGGTCAATTTTTGGAAATTCTTTTGACTGTTTCATATGTAAAACACTCACAATTTGTTCAAATTACAAACAATTCCAAATTCGTCATTCCAAATTCAGAAAAATGAGAACAAAATTCAAAAAAGCAATCCAATTGAATGTTTTAAACAGAGTTGATACTGAAAATCGTCCAATAGAGGACGTTGTTCGTGGCACACATAGTGTTAAACTGTCAACTGTCAAAGCGTTGAACGCAACATGCGATTTGCGACAGAAGTGAATATAACAACAAGAATATTTTACAGTCGTTGTTTTTGAAATCGAAATTCAATTGGAAAATTGTAATGCAGATAACAAATCAAGAGATCAAAGAATGTGTCGATTTACGGGCGTGCGCTTATACAAATTGGTATAAAAAATTTCGAAAAATTACATTCGAATCGATATGCATTCCATTGCCAAAAGAAATCGTACAGTATTTGCTCGATGAAATAATTATATTACCAAAAGAATGCTACAGTAATGATGATGATAATGAGAATGCATTTGGACCAGACACTGCAGCCACAGCAGCTGACAATGAAGACGATGACGACGATGTAATAGTAAGTAAATTGAATGATCAAAATAGAAGCATATGACACATAGATAACATTATATTATATTTCAGCAACCGCAATTTCCAGAATTTAGTGAAACACTAGCAAATGCATTGTCACGACTTGACGGATCGGTATTCGTGAAAACCAATTGGAATAGCCCGAAAGATGCATTTTGGATAACCGCGGGCCAGACAATGTGCTGCAAAGATATCATCGATGTTTATCAATTGTTGAAAGCGTCTGGCATTTGCAAGGAGGATTTGTCATGTCACAATTTACCAATTTTCGATTTGGAACCATTGGCCGAGGCTTGTAGTAGCACTGACACTGACAGCAGTGACAGCAGCATAAATCAATCCATGGAAAATAGCCAATATTTGATATTCAAAAAATGGCACGACATTCATCCGGGCACTGAGTTTCGCTGTTTTGTGCAGAACAAACGACTGATTGGCATTTCGCCAAGAGATTGGCCACAGTATCATGAATATATTTGCACACAACGCGTTAATATCGTCAATGATATTGTCAGTACTTTCAAAGAACATATCAAACCAAAGTTTCCACTTTATGATTGTGAGTGCCATCCATATATTTATTTCATTTATTTTTGGATTTTCACATGAAACATGACGAGCTAGACTGATGAAACTTTTTTTTTTTTTGTATTTTGTATTGCAGATGTATTTGATGTAGTTCGTGATGCCAAAGATCGCGTTTTCCTGTTGGATTTTTCTCCATTTAATGAAAAATATACAGAGTCATTGGCTTTCGAATGGAGTGATTTGCTAGTTGATAGCGAGGTATATTCAATGAATATATTGTGATTAAAGTGTAATAATCAACGAAACTTAACGATATTTTAGATAAGTTCAAATGATGACGAAGAAGAAGATCCGGAATTTCGATATCTTAGTGCCGATTGTGGTATTCAGCCGAATAAACGCAATAACTACGGTATTCCAAAAGATGTGATCGACATGTTTCGCGCATCATCAAGCAATTCGAGTAATTCAAACGAATCTCCAAACACCCTTGACGATGTCATTAACAATCGTTTAAGAAACGTAAGATTAACTTTGTCGTAGATCTGTTCAAATGCAAACCTA